AGGTGGCTAATGTCGGGCATGATGACGTTTAGTCGTCTCATTTAGACACTTGTTGGCAACCACATTTTTAATTCACCAGTGGGGTATTTACTGACGTATTTTATGTTGTAAACCAAAAAAATATCTTCAGCACAGACCTTATTTTAGGCTTCTGACCAAAAACACGTTCACAAAACCATTGACTTCTAGACGAGGAACAGTAAGTGCTAGAATGCTGACTCATTACAGGGTTTTAGGACTAATTCCTGCAGATTATAAAGTCATATCTGAAGTCTCTAACCACTCAAGTTTCTGTTGCAGGGCTGCGAGTTGATCCTTCAGTTTTTTCACGTCTCCTCTCCTCTCGTGGGTCTGGTTTATGTTTTTGTGAAGATATCTGCACACAGAAAATCAGTATGTAATGTTTGTTGAAGGCATTCATCTTCGCTTCTTCATTTGTATGATATAATAATACTATGGTCTTAGAAGAAGCTCACCTGTCCATATAAATGATTTGAGGGAACTCCAGTTTCTTGTGGATCTTTTCGGGGCGACCGAGCTGAGTGTTGAACTCAAATCTCGACAGCTCGAATGTCAAGACTGGGGGTAACTTTTTGAACCATCTCTGCAACCAAAATAAAACAACAGTATTAGCAGAGCATCAAAATTATGAAAATTGAAATTCAACTTAAGTAAAAGTAGGTAGAACCAGCAAAACAAAGTTATATTATTGGAGTACTTATTAAAGTAGCCGATGCAGAAAATATTTATTTCTTAAAACTCAAATTATTGTAAATAAATAAATGAAATCAAACACAAAATTCATTAGTTGAATTTTTCACCTCCATTTTTCTCTTAAGTTACAACAAAACATATTATTTTAATGTATTTTTAATGCAAACATCTTATTTTGTTAAAGTCCTTAATTGAAACTATGAATACAAAATAAATAAAGTAAGTATAATCAGCTAAATGTACTTAAAGTATTCTCAGTTGAAATACCCAATGCAGAAAAATCTAAAAGAGTGTTCAGTAAAAAACACCCAAAAAACTACAATTATTCTTCTCAATTTCTCAAAAGGCTTTTCTTGTTGGTTGGTTTAATTTACAAGAAAACATTATATTGTATGAACTGTATTTTAGAATCAGAATCAGAATACCTTTATTAGTCCCACAGAGGGGAAATTTGCAGCGTTACAGCAGGAAAGAGCCACAGACAGCTTAGTGTTGCATATCGTACACGCGTTAAAAAAGTACTAAGTTATAATATAATAAACAATATGCTAAAAAAAGATAAAAACTAAAAAAAATTACATAATTTTCAAAAATACAGATAAAAAAAATAATATATTGTCATATGCACAAAGCTACAGTGTAGAAATGAAAATCTTAAGCGTCTTTGAGTTTTTAGAAAAGCCCTATATAAGTGTCATTGTTCTCCAGCAATCCAACATATATAATAAAATACAAAAATATAAATGAAAAGTAGTGCAAAAAGTCTATATGTAAATAGAATATGATATGTAGAGTACTATGAAGTTATCCACCTCTCGTCCAGGCGTGACGCTGTGATCTGCGTGCAGAGACTCGATCTCTCTCTCCACCATCGCTCCCTCCAGACACTCGTCCAGGTTGTTGAAGCCGTTCACCTGCAGAGGGTACTGTCCAAACTGCTCGATGTTACACAACGTCTTACCTGAAACAACATTCACACGGATGAACATCTCATCTTGTTTCTTTTTGTTGATGTATAACAAGTATATATTATCAGCTTTATCCTGTACAGTGATTCATAATTCAAAAATAAAAGGTCCAGAAAGTAAGTGTTAGATAATGTTGGGAAAATCCTGAATGTCCTCTTCCAACATGAGAGTCACATGATAACAAAGGTATCCCAACTGTAGCTGTGAACATGACAGGATGTGTGATTACCAAGAAGAGCATCAGGACTGTTTGAGGCATATGATAGCTATGTGATTAACATGATGATTCAGCCTCTATGGAGAGAGACATATGACAAGCATGCTCATTTCTGACGTGGAGCTAATCTGAAGTAAACATTGAATACTGCTTTCTATTCCTCCATCTTGTGACTGTGGAACTCCCTCTCTTGGATATCAGCATGTGAAGGACACTGTTCAGGAACTAGTTGATGCTCTGTATGTGATGACTACTTCCATTCTGGAGAGGATCACAGATACATGGATCCTGAGATTCAAGCTCAAGCCGGGGACCAGTGAGATTTTTCCCAACAGATAAGATGTACTTTAATCTCAATTTTGGAAATGTTAGCGTTGCCGCAGCATAAGAGACAAGGCATTGCACATAAGAGACATTGAAAGAGTAGCAATAAACAATAAACATCTGTTGTTATAGGAAGTTCAGATTTAGGCTTGTTTTTCTAAATAATGGCCCCCAGAAAGAAACAGGACCATACCTACTTAGCCCTGGCAATATTAGCATTGTGACCAACGTCTTGGTAGGGAATGTTCTATTTCACATTATACCAACATACAGAATGTGTATTGGTAAATTCATATTGATTTCCACGGGGACAGAAACTCATACCTTCGTGTCTTCTTTCTGTCACAAAGGTACCGTAGAAAAGCTGGACCATTGGGTTCTTCTGTTTGTCTTCAACTTTACTAAAAGTAAAAACATGACATTTTATATCAGTTTAAAACAATAAACAAAGGGAGAAGGAGAATAGTCCCTGCATGTGAAGGACGTACACTTTATACTTACTCTTTGGCAGCGAGCTGAAACGCGTCCTCCAGCCAGTCCAGCAGTTTGTGGGAAAATTCACTGACGTCCTGAAATAAAAAAACATTAGATTAAGATCAGTATAAGTTTAAAAACTGTTAATATTTCCCCTTCAAAACACAAAAAAGGGCCTCATCTCCCTCCTGAGGAAATGATCCACACACAATATAAGAGACGGAGGTGAGCTAAGAAGCCTCAACAAAAACATATCATAACTTTGTCACTCTTTCATTGTGGTTACTTTCTAGATTTAAACCAGAATAACATCCTCACAGAAATGCACATAACAGCATGTCTGTCACGCAGGCAGATAGGCAGACAGGCAGACAGCAATAGTAGGCAGACGACAACAGCCAGAAGACAGACAGACGGATGGATAGATTTCAATTATTCCGGAGTGTAAACAGCTTATTACAAGGACAGAGTCTCAGGTGGGTCTCAAGTACCAAATAGTACTTCTGAAGTCTGTGGTTTATATCC